ATCGCGCGCGGGCGCGTCGCCCTGCGCGCCCCCCAGCCACTCCACCCCAGTCACATGTACTTGGCCAGGCCGTGGATGCAGCCAGCGAGGTCCTTGGTCATCGTCCCACTCTCCACTGTCTCCACACAGACCTTCTCCAGCGTCTGAGCGAACCTGGGGATGGCAGCACCAGCCACAGCTCCAGCAACACCAGTACCGTGGACTTCTACCAGGGCTGGGGACCCCCGGTGCCCCCACCCCACTCACTTGATCAGCTCAGGGTTGGAGTCCAGCTTGCCCCGGTGCTCCAGGCCCCGCGTCCAGGCAAAGATGCTGGCGATGGGGTTGGTGCTGGTGGGTCGTCCCTGAGGGGAGAGGGGGGCTCAGCCAGCAGCCCACCGCAAGCCCCCCGGCGCGGGCAGCGCCCACCCACCTTCTGGTGCTCCCGGTAGTGGCGGGTGACGGTACCATGGGCTGCCTCTGCCTCGATGGTCTTCCCGTCCGGACACACCAGCACCGAGGTCATCAGCCCCAGGGAGCCGAAGCCTGCGGAGGGACAGGTGGGTGGGCAACTGTGCACAGCCTACCCCACAGCACCCCAAACTGCCCCAAACTGCCCCAAATCACCCCACACCTTGGGCCAGGATGTCAGACTGCACGTCCCCATCATAGTTCTTGCAGGCCCAGACAAAGCCACCAGAGGACTTGAGCACCTGGGCCACCATGTCGTCGATGAGCCGGTGCTCGTACCAGATCTTCAGCTTGTCGAACTCCGTCTTGTAGTGCCTGGGGGCCCGGGCGGGCGTCAGCCGTGCCCACTGGGGACCCCTGGGCAGCCCCCCCAGGGCAGCTCTGCCCCCCAGCTTCTCTCAGCCCATACTTATCGAAGATCTCCTGGAAGATGTCCTTGAAGCGCCCATCGTAGGCCTTCAGGATGGTGTTCTTGGTGCTCATGTACAGAGGCCACTTCTTCTGGATGGCGTACTGGAAGCAGCTGTGCGCGAAGCCTGAGATGGACTGCGAGGGAAGCACACGGATCCCTGTGGGACCCCAGCCCTGCCAGCCCGGCCAGGTTCCCCAGGGCCAGCAGGGCACGCTGCCCCACAGGGACCCCGTGCTGCCCTCAGCCCCCCATCACCTCGTCTGTGTTGTACATGCCCATGCCCACGCCGCCGCCGGGGAAGTTGAACACCTCCCACTCCTTCACCCCGCTGCCGTCCTTCGGCGTGAAGACCATCTTGAAAGTCCCCGACTTGCCCACCACGAAGTCAGTGGCTTTGTACTGCGAGGGGCTGGGCAGAGGGTCAGGCAGGGTCTGGCAGGAGCTGCCGGAGCCCCCGCGCTGCTGGCAGTCCCCACGCCGGGCTCACCTGGTCACCATGGGCATGTCTGCCAATGGTGATGGGCTTGGTCCAGCCAGGCACCAGGCGCGGGATGTTCTTGCAGATGATGGGCTCCCGGAACACCGTCCCCCCAAGGATGTTCCGGATGGTGCCGTTGGGGCTCTTCCACATCTTCTTCAGCTTGAACTCTGTGGTGTGCAGAGGTGAGGGACCCCCCGCCAGGCACAGCCCCCACCCCCCACCCAGCCCCTGCCAGCCCCACCGGCTCCTCTGTGCCGTGGGCCGATGCCAGAGCCCGCTGCCAGGACAGCCAGGGAGGGACAGCCGGCATGGGCTCGTGACTGGGACCGGGCAGAGACCCGTCTGTCCCCCACCCCACACCTGCAGGGTCCCCACAGCACCCCCCAGCCCCCCAGGGTGTGTGTGGAGGGGCACAGCTCTGAGCCTGAGGCCCCCAGCCCATCAGAGACTGGAGCCAGTGGGGAGGAGGGACACTGATGACCAGGGGAGCTGGGCACACACGGGGGGCTCAGCAGCCCCTCACCCCCTGCCCACCTTCCACCCTGGCTTCATCTGGTGTGATGGTGGCACACTTGACGGCCACGCTGTACTTCTGGGTGGCCAGCGCCGAGTCGATGGTGACCTGGTCATCTGTCTTGTCTCGGTGAGGCAGCCCCAGGTCAAAATACTTCAGCTGAACGTCCACGTTGGGCAGGATGAGCTGGGGGTCCAGAGAGTGTCACGAGGGAGCCCTGGGGTTGGGGTTCCCGGGAGGGCAGCACTGTGCACTGTGGCACAGCCAGCCCCAGCCCAGCCCTGCCTGCTGGCTTGGGACGGTCCCCCCTGCCCAGGAGTGTCCCCCCTTTCCTGGGACAGTCCCACCTGCTCAGAATGGTTGCCCTGCCCAAGACAGTTTCCCCGCCTGTCACAGTCCCCCCTGCCTGGGATGGTGCCCCCTGCCCAGGGAGTCCTGGTCACTTCCAGATCCCACCGGCTTCCCACGGATGGGAGGACATAGGACAAAAGGCAAACAGGGAAGGCAGGGCCTGCCTGTCCCCAGCACAGCACCACTCCCCTGCTCCCCAAGCAGGACCCCCCCTCACTTTGTCCTTGATGAAGGCCCAGATGATCCGTGTCATCTCGTCTCCATCCATCTCCACCACTGGGTTGGCCACCTTGATCCGCTTGTTGGCATCTGGGGAGCAGGGGGGTGGTGTCAGGGGCGGGTGCCTGGACCCACAGCTCCACCCCCGGCTTGGGGACAGGCCCGTGGGGACCACGGGGCCCCATCCAGCAGGGTTCAGGTGCCAGCACAGCACAGGGCTGGGTGCAGGTCGGGGCACAAACCCCGCTGGGGTGCAGACCGGGGTGCATGTGCCCCCAGCACCAACCCAGCCTGGGGGTACGTGATGGCACAGCCAGACAAGGACCGGGGGCAAACGACTCCAGGGGGGGCGCCGGGTGGAGCTCGGCTGCAAAACGACACGGATCTGGGACCCGGGCCAGGAACGAGCCCTTCAAGAGGCCAAATGTGGCTGCGGGTCGGGCGGGAAAACCCCCCGTGGGACCAGGACCAGAAACAGCCTCCTCCAGGGTCAACCCGGGCACAAGCTGGGGTGCAAACACCCCCGCTGGACAGGGAATGGGGGCAAACCTCTCTCGGGGATGGACCCGGGTTACAGATGGTTCCACGTGGAACTGGAAATAGGAACAAAAAGTTCTGAGGTCCAAACCTGGCTGCGGGTCGGGCTGCAAAAGCCCCACG